TCCATCTGTTCAGAATGGTGTTTGCCATCACTTATACCGGCACTCTCTTTTTCGAGCCTATTCCCTCTAACTACCACCGTCATCTCCAAAGTTTTGCTTCTCGTCCGTTTTTGGCCTCATATCATGTTCCCTTTCCTGAACTCTTGGAACTGGGGCTTGATGTGCATAGGTTTGTTCAAAACTTGGGATGGGAATTTCTGCTCGACCATCCTTTTTCATCCTTGGTCTGCCCGGATTTGGTTCGCTACTTCTTTTCAAACTTTCGCTCTCCCGGGCTTGCCTCTCGTTCCTTCTCCTCAATTGTTTTTGGTCACGTGTTCACTCTTCATCTCGATGATCTGTCGGATACACTTCATATCCCTCGGGTTGAAGAGGCTTTGGCTGACGCCTCTGAGCTGGAGCTGTTTGCATTTCAATATGCTGAAGAATTTCATTAGCTCACCGATGTCCTGCCAGCCCCAAATCATATCATGCCTGTGACCTCTCTGTTACCCTCCCTTCGACTGCTTCATTATTGCATCACTCGGGTCTTTGTTCCTCGGGCTGCCTCCTTGGACCTTGTTCTTCCCGTGGATCTTTGGATCATATCCCACGCTGTTCATGGAGTCCCCCTTGACTATGCGCATCTGGTGTTTGGCGGTCTACTGAGGTTAAGTGATGCATCCCTCGATGGTCCTCTTGCCTTTGGCCCCCTGGTCACCTTCCTACTTCTCGAGCTTCGTATTCATCTTTCCCCGTTCCTCACCATCACCCCCTCCCTGTATCCTCCTGCTGGAGCTGTCCTGGATGCACTGGAGATTGCAATTGAAGGGGAGGATGTTGTTGAAGGGGAGGACGCCGTCATCTGGGTGAGTAGCAGTGATGATAGCAGCAGCAGCAGTGATGAACCAGGACTGGAGCCTTTTGTCGAAGCTCTTCAAGCTCTGCTGGAATATGGCTCAGACGACGATGGTGATAGCGCTTAAAGAACTTCCTTAGTAGCCACACAGTTTGTTTTGTTTCAGGAATTTTTGAGAGTTTTGTCTTTGAACTGCTTTTCTTGGTTAAGTCTCTGGTTTGCTGGATGTTTGGTGGAGTTGATGTTTGCATTCTGGATTATGTTACTGGTTTATGTTATTTATGCGTGGTTTATTGTCGGAAATATTTTATATATTAGTTGGAGCGAGAGAAGGTATGTTCTTTTTGCAGGCAATCGGCAATCTCTGATTTAAGGGGAGATTGTAGAACCAAGTTACCAAATCAGAGTTGCTTCCTGAAAGGAAAGAAGACAGTCAGAGACAGCACAGAGCTACCATTTCAGTCCTGCATTTGAATTCAAGGACAACAGTCGAGAATACACTGGTGGTTATATATAGTCGAGCTCTGCGTCGTGGTTGGGCACTTTTTGTAAGGGTGGAAAAGGGCTGCTTTCAATCTGAGTTAATCAACAGAGGAATAGGCTCTGGTTGATTAACGTTGTAACGGGTCAGGGATAGGGATCCGGGCTGAAAACTTCCTTTGAATTGCTTTGTGTCATTGTTTGTGTCAAGCTGCTTGATAGGTGAAAATCAAATATAAAAAAGTCTCCTAGACCTCAGTGAAGTACTGAGTCTAGGACGAGGAGTGACCAGTAGATTGGGAACCTCGTTAAAATTGATTGTAGTCTTTCGATTCCCTGTTGCTCGCTTTCTTCTTCAATTTCGTACCTTACTCTGGTTTGCACTTTCCCCTGCTTCAGAAACTCTGTTCTTCTCTACGAAGAAGACGAGTTCCAGGGCATTGAGGGCGGGCTTAAATCTTGGGCCAATTTACTCTAATAGTAACTCAAGTTACTGAGTGGGCTGCTTATAAAGCATCAAGGCCCGGCCCGTTATATGATCTGTATATTCTGGAGAGAATCGCATTATCTCTTCTTCTCCAAATAGTTCCATTTCCATTTTGCCTCTTCTTCTTCCCTCTGTCGAACCCTAATTTCCTTCTTCCATTTACATTTACACATTCTTGCATAGAATGCCAGAAATGCTACATTATGAGTTTTGACTTGATCAAGCAGGCATTCGAGAAGTCGAGTCGATCCTCGGGCTGCCTACAGATTTTATGAAGAACGATATGTGGTACAATCACGACGGCCAGCTCGCCATAATGCTTCACATGCTGAAACAGAACTGCCTGCTGGCTATTGCCTTCGGTTCCGGTGCATGGCGCTGCGATTTCCCCCTTGCGACGTTTCACATCTGGGGGCTGTTGAACTACAACAAGCACGTGGCAAATAGAAACGATCAGGAATAGGGATGGCAATGGGTCGGGTTGGGCGCGGATAGTGTGTATCCGTTACCCTACCCAAAGTAGTTCCGGTTTTACCCATACCCATACCCACATAAGAAATGGGTAGAAAATCAAAACCATGCCCATACCGTATGGGTAATAATTTCTCTTTATAACTCCAACCAATATGTTAACATTCACACGTATTCTCACATTACATTAGAGGAAAAGTACGACCATAATTCACTAGAATGAAGAAAATTAATTAAAACGACACAATTTCATGAAAATATTATATTTATATGCTAAATATAAAATATGTTAGAGAAAAATAATGATTATTTATATACAAAATACATATGCATGTGTATAATCGGGCGGGTTCAGATTGGACAGTGAGAAATCCATGCCCACCCATTACCCGCAATATTCGGGTTCGGGTTTTACCCGTACCCACAAAAATTCCTTCGGGTTCGGGTTTTACCCTACCCGATTAGGTCGGATTCGGGTGGATATCCACGGTTACAGATATTTTTGTCATCCCTAATCAGGAAGCAGCTGAAGTCGTAGCAGGCGGCAATTGGATGGAGTTGCATGTCGTGTGACATGATTTGATGTGCCCTGTGTTTAGATGTCTGAGGTTGGAGAATGTCGCCTCCTGTGTTCCTGGAGTTCGGAAGGATGGCTACTACTATTCGGTGACCCAGGAAGGGGAGCTCAATGCGTTTAATCCCCAGACCAAGCATCTTGGGATCAAGGAGGCGAATAATCACTGTTCCACCAGTTTTGAAGTAGCAATTCGTGTGGTTTGATCAGGTTTGTTGATCAGAACCGGATCGTTGCACATTCGGTTAATAAAGACTAGCTAGCTATGGTGGCAGTGGTTCGCGACTCGAGGTTGGTTAATTATGACATTTCTGAAAAGCCTACGTTCATAATTTTTTTTTTATATAGATTTTGTGCCTGCATCGTTTTCAACTTTTATCATGTCTTCCTAGAAACATAAGATGGCATTGTCTTTATTTTTCTTTTATTTTGTCTTTCTTTATTTTCCATAATTTTAACTCCTCTGAAACATAAACACAAAAAGGAACATTGATGCAAAACATGCGTAATTAATCGCATGCGACAGTCAATCACTAACCGATTCATCGATGAAAGAATCGTTTATGTGCCATGAAAGAATAGCCTTATTAGAATCCAAAAAATACAGTGAAGAAAAAATACTATAAAACCAATAAAAGGGTACAAATGAAACGTCCACAAAATGCACTTCAAAGCCATGGCATCCATTGTTGGGATTCCAATAGCTAGTGTCGAATTTAGCTAAGAAGCTTAAGCGTAAAGCTTGTTGTACAGTCATTAAGTTTCTCTTTAAGAATTATTCCCACCGAACGATTAACTAAGAGTTCATAAGTCTAACATGCATGAGTCTTTTCTTCACTCAAATTTAATTTAAACAGTTCAAATGAACGATGGCAAATGTACAAAGTTGAATTTGGTTGAGTTATTTTAAGGATCGAGTCCCGGTAGAAAACCCTTTGCCTGCAAAACCATACAAAACCTCAGCCGTACATTTGTATTACGATATGATAATATAATATCGTGATATGATGATGCGATCGGATTTTGCAGATTGCAAGTTGAAATTTTGTACCCTATCCGCTAGGGCTGGCAACCGGTCGGTTTCGGTTTAACCGAAAACCGAATTCTCGGTTTTCGGCTAAACCGAGACCTGACCAGGTACCACCGCCCACCGACCGACCCTGGCGCCTCGGTTATCCGTAAACCGACCGGGCGGTTTCGGTTAAGGCGCGGTTAAACCGGTAGCACCGCAAAAGAAATGGTCGGTTCGGTCTGCTGTCCTGACCGACCGAAGACCGCCAATAATTAGAGAGGTTGAGACAGTGTTGTCTTGGTTTTGGGAAAACGTACCGAGGGGACTGACAGCTTTTTTTCCTTTCTTTTTTTTTTCGTGTAAATTTTTTTTTTCTTTCTTTGGCGAAGGGAACGAGGGATCAGCTTGGGAACTCCGCCGTTGGGTTGCTCACTTGCTCTATCCTTCCTTCTCCACCACATATTTTACTGAACCCAGCACGGTTGCCGAGAGAGGAAAGAGAGTGTACTTACACCTCCAAGGGAGAGATTGTGCAAAGTTCATAATTTTTCTTTCTCCTCTATTTTCAATCCAATCTCTTCTCCACTGTTCACTCTCTCTCTCTATCCTCTCTGCCGCCTCTTCAGTTAAAGTTGGGAGCAAAGCAAAGGAAAATGAAAGGAAAACCCTTTAGAGGAGAAAACCAGGGGATCCATTTCTCTCTTCTTCCCTTCCCTCACCTTCTTTCACTCATAAAGCTCTTCATCCGTTTTCCTCTCCCCTCTTTCGGTTTCTTGGGGTGTTGTTTCAGCGGGAGAAGAGAACGCGAGGGATATGGAGAAGAGCTCGATGAGCAGCGGCAGCTCTGATCTCATCGACGCCAAGCTCGAGTAGAGGCTCTGGCCTCTGAGGATGCTAGGGTTGGGTCGTTTCAGCTTGCCAAAACGGGATCGTAGTGTCGGTCGGTTAGAGTCGGTTAGCCGGTTAACCGGCGTCGGTTAATCGGCTAACCGCCTAACCACAGACAGCCTCCGGCAACCAACCGACCCTTATTATTTTCGGTTTCCGGTTAGCCGCTAACCGGCGGTTAACGGTTAGACCGACCGGTTAGCCGCTAACCGGCAACCGAATTGACAGCCCTACTATCCGCTCCCTTAACGCACGCACGATGTTAATGTGACTGACGGGGGACAAAATAAACGCACATTCCAATATTCAATTGACTGTATATCCTTACAAAAGCTTACTCGAAACGTCCTCTATATAAAACGAATCATACCGCATACAAGTCCTCGATCGATGGATTGCTAACCAATTAATTACTACGCCGTTGCACCCGCCGCCGCCTCCGGACCACCACCGACCGGTAAAACCGTCGAGTCCGAAAGAACAACAGGATCGCCACCAGACACCCGAAGAAGGCCACACCTGCCATGATCAGAAACGACGCCATGAAGCAGCGACTCCCGAAGCAATCCCCTCCGCCGCCGCCGCCGCCGCCCTTCTCCCTTGCCACCTCATCGTACACGTACCCAATAATCCTCACCGAGAAAACGTACGACCCCAGCGGGCTAGCCACCGCCACCGTGTTGAAAATGGTCCCGAGGTGGGCCACCCCGAAGATCTCGGCGCATATTGTCGGCATCAGCGACCACTGCGACCCGTACGAGACCCCGACAAGGACGGAGCCCACGTAGAGGCACGCGGGCAGGCCCGAGGCGATCACCACGTGGCCCACCGCCATCGTGGCGAGCGTGACCGCCATCAGCGCGGGCCGGGCCCACCCGCCACGATGGAGCAGGGTGTCGGACACGAACCCTGCTCCGAACCGGCCCAGGAAGTTCCATATGCTCCACAGGGAAACCAGCGTCGTCCTCTCCACGACCGCGTAGCCAAGCGACTCGCCTACCTGCATGCAAAATTCGTAACAAATTTTATGAAATCAAATCAGGCTTTCCTCATTCGCGCATTCCTAGCTTTGTCACGGCCTACCTGGCTGATATTGTTGATCGTCGCGACCCCAGACCCCAGGCCGCAAAACACGGCCAGGAAAAGCAGCCAGAAGTCCAGCCTCAGCAAAGCCTGTGCCAGATTGACCTCGACGTGATTGTCGAGGTCATCTGGCAGTAATTCGGTGGAGCCTGACTGCGCGGCTTTGGAGCCGCTCTCCTCGAGCAATGCGCGGGCCAAGGTGTCAGACTCTTGGCGGTGGGCTCTAAGGGCGATTATGGACGGGGAGGCGACGAGGAGCAGGAGGAGCACGAGGAAGGAAGCGACGAGGGCCCAGGAGGGGAGGATGATAACGTTGTGGAGGAGGATGATGGCAGCGAGGTAGGCCGCGGTGGCGAGGGCGACGGCGGAGAAGGAGTTGAGGTGGCGCTTGTCGGCCGGGGTGGTGGTGTCGTAGTTTCTGACGAGAGGCATGGAGAGCAGGGAGATGAGCGTTGGGGCGACGGCGAGGAGGAGAAGGAATGTGGCCGGCTTGTCCTTGCATACGGCGTCGTAGAACTGGATTAGAATTGCGCCGCTCAGACCGAGAAAGCCCTGGATGTATATGTACAAGGAAGAAAATGGAAATTAACATAACAATCTTAATGTTATTTTCTTTCTCCCAATCAGACCTGCAATATTGCATCGATGGAAAATAGCAGTATCATCCAAGCTGGGAAGTAGAAAGTTTGGAGTTCTAACTATACTACTACATCTTTTCCACCTCTTAGAAAGAAAAGAATTTGAATCAAAATACTTAATAGCATGGCGATACATTTATACAAAACTTCTACCCCGAGCACACGCAATGGAGCCGTAGACAGTCAAGTGAAATCCAATATACGAAATACACGAAATAATTTGATCTATGGACAGCATCGTTGTGTTAAAGGCCGTAATGCCATAGGCGGAAAGGAGCAACAAGAAATTTTTATCAAAATAATACGTTAATAAATTATTCGAATGAAGGAAATTAATAAAAATAACTAAATTTCATGGAAATATTATATATGCACAGTAAATATAAAATATGTTGAGAAAAATAATCTAGACAAAACACATAGACATGTGTATAATAGGATAGTTTGAGTTGAATAGTGAGAAAATCATGTCTATCTCGCAATATTTGAATTCGAGTTTTACTCATACAAACTAAAAATTATTCAAACTTGAATTTTACCCGCTCAAGTAGATAGAATTTGGACGGATATCTATCATGACGTGCAAGAAAAACAAAAGCAACATTTTGAGCACATCCGAAAAAGGGAGCAAGAAATTCTACCACTAAGCTCTACCCAAAAGTCTAAACCAACAATTGAACTCATTCTATGTAAGTCAACAACATATTGTCTCACTAATCTTATACACTAAATGGTTAGCATTCTACTCCATTATGCAAGGAAAATCAGATACAGGGCTTGAAAACACGAATCAGATGAATACTTTAATTCATTGCGTATAGTTTAATCATATATATATATATATGGTTGAGATTTTCTAAATATTTTGTTCAAATAAATACGTGACCGACGATATAGTTTGCTTGACGCATGGAGGAAATTATTTGGTAAGGTTGACAGCAGCGTACCCAGGGGCATTTAGAGGTGTTTCGGGACACTTCTAAATTTTGGAAGATCGATTATCCAATCGTCGGTAGTAATTTATGTATAGACAAAAATATATATATAATTAATAGTCGGGACATCCTGAAATTTGAAAGAATGATTACACTACTCTCGTTTGTAGTTTGCGTATGGGAATATAACTGGTATTTTAGATAATTCAAACCCGAGACACCACTATTACTAATAAATATAATATGCATTAAGCTACAACTTTTTTGTTGTTAAATTCTAAACACTGTGTAATAGCAAAATCCTATTCTCTATTTTTAATTATTTTCAAAACCTAACATTTAATCTAATTACAAGCTACATTAATTTGTATTGATTTTATGATTGTACGACAAGAGTTAAAAGTGCTTTTTCAGCTTTGAGTTACATCATTAACAAATTTAAAAGAAAAATATGCGTCAGTTCGTAAATGATTGTCTAATAGGATATACCGTGACAAATTTATTGAGCAGTGTAGACACCAAGTGTATTTTATAATTTTTTAGAATATGAAAATACATCATTAACATTTTGAACGTGTACGAGTTGGATATTTTCTTATTTACGAATTATATAATTTTTATTAATTATTAATTATATAATTCTTATTTTACTTTATTTTTAAAGAGAAAATCACTATGTAAGATTTCTGAGTCCGCCACTGAAGGTTGGTGCTCCTATAAATAAGTAAGCAGGGGATAGGTGGAAAAGTTAATGGTACTCAATATCTGGGGATGGAGGAATTGTGAGCTCTCAAGATTGTGATAAAAAATTAGGGTGGCTATACGGTTTGGTCTGGTTAAATTGGTCCGAATTGTTCTGGTCTTAGTCTGGTCTTTTCGAGAATATAAGGATCAAAGATTGGATTGGATACAAATAGCTAGCCCTATCAAAAATGGCATCCAACCATCACCTTTCTTTCAATTGACAGTTGGCACTTACTCATAAATAGAGATGATAATGAGTCGGTTCAAATGACTTTTTTATTGTAACTGAAATACTGAATCGGAATTCGGAACCGACACAAAGCTGAAGAGGCAATCAAAATTATAGGATGGTTCAATTTCGTCGTTGTAATCGAACGGAAAATCGTCTAAATAAAAGACATCGAAATACACTTCTATTCACTACGGTATAAATATTTTTTAGTAAAAATGAAATGAAAGCTGGTATTCCCATCTGTCGTTGTTAACTTGTTCAATGGTTTACCTCAACACGTAACGGAGGCACGCAGACCGACGACAAGCGAGGAACACGAGGGAATAAGATAACTAACTATTCAGTAAGAAAATAAAAAGGCTGGAGGAATAAAAAAGTAATTAACCAACCTTCATAATCCCGACGATGGTCCCACCGTAGTCCCCGAAATTGTGGACGCCGGTGACGACGTTGGCGGTGTTGAAGAACGTCTGCGCGTGGGCGGCCATCCAGATGGAAACGCACATCGCCGGCACGGGAAGCGGCGGCACCAGCCCAACGACGGAGGCCCACATCACGAAGTAGCCCACGAAGCACTGGGCCGCGCCCACCGCGTGGACAACCCAGGCCCGCCCGCCGCCGCCGGATCCGAGGGTGACGGAGGAGTAGAGGAGGCCCGAGAGAATGCCGGCGTTGGCGCCGATGTCCTTGAAGACGGAGACGGTGTCGAGGGTCGATTGGTCGTAGCCCTGCGTGGCCTTGAGGGCGGGGGAGTAGATCCCGAACGTGTAGGACGCTCCGGCAACGCTTTGGATCCATATCCCGGCCACCGCCGCCGCCCATTTCGTTCTCAGGATCTCCATTTTCGACACCCGATTACGATTTCCTTGGCAGAATTTGGCTATTCTATCTGGCGGAAAGTGGAAGTGGGACCCATGAATTTGGGGGAGAAAGGGGTGGAGCGGCAGAATGCGAAAGGGGCTTTTGTTGCAGAATTGAGAATTCCCTCTTTTCTCAAATAAGGTAAAGGAAGTGAGAAAGAACTGTAACCAACAAGAAAAGGGTGAATTGCAAGTTTAGCCACTCATATTACCTATTTGTAACACGTTTGCTATCCGAATCACTCCGTTAAATTTGTACCAGGTGACAGTCAACTCACTCAACTCCAACGTTTAACCGTTAAAATGGTGATGTGTCGATTAAAAATAATAAAAAGAATTGTTTTTTTCCACATCATACTAAAATTTAATAAATATTTATTTTCCTAAAAACCTAAATGATATAAATAAATAATAATAAACAGAACCCACCGCGTCGCCCTCCACTCTGCGTCGCGACGCCGGCCTCTCCCTGCTTCTGCATGTGCTATCTTCGCCGTCGAATTGCAAGTGTGGTCACTTATATTATCTATTTATAATATGTTAGCCAACCGAATCGCTTTTCCTTAACCCGTCAAAGCGGGTAATTATCCTCGTTGATCGGTTACGGTCGGGTAGGGTACCCATGGTTACGGGTTGGATTGACATTTAAGAAAGATGAACAAGAGGACTGAAATGGGTAGTTGGGAAAAATAGGAGGATTAAGATAAAAGAAGGGGAAATGTTTAATAATTGTTCAATCGGGTCCTATCTTAGGTAACCAGTTCGTGGAGCGGGAGCGGGAGCGGGAGCGTGAACGGGAGCGCCAAAGCGTCAAATTTTTAAAGACTTAATATTAAAAGCGTGATGAGAGCGTTATTATTATATTATTATATTTATTTTGAATAATAAAAAATTACCGTTATTGCTCAATATAGCAACAAAATATAAAGTACATCACTTAATTAAACTTTCCCCTTTCCTTATCAGCTTTATGACGTAAGAATTTTGCTTCTATTAGTAGATGGCTTCTAATAGTTCCCAGCTTGCATTCTTCACCACAGATAATTCCCATGGCCCACTCTTATTTTAATGAATTTATAACATGCAATTCAAAGAAAAAAAAATTAATACACGTGGTGGTGAGAGCATACAGGCACAACACCAAAGACCAATTAACCCTAGCAGCTACCGCTCTTCAATTCGTTTCCCTTTCCCTGTTCTTTTCCCTTCTTCAGTTCCTCTGTTCTGCTCAACCACGACCTCAGGATCCCTAACTATTTTGTACTTCTTTTCCCCATCTCGTCACTCTCGATGTTCAGTTAGTTCCTCCGATCTTATCGATGGTAGTTTGGGAGTATGGAATCTAGCGTTCCGTTTATGGGTTGATCTTCAGATCTTATTGATGGCACTTCGAATTTCTGGAGTTTCAGTGGTTAAATGTTCTTCTTTCTCCAATTGAATACAGGTGTCAGTCTTCTGCTTTTGCTCCTCTCCCAATTATGAAGAGGAAGCTGCAATCATCGTTGTCAATGGCAACTTGAAGCTTGCCTACTCCTATCCATTACCTTCCTTGATCTCCCACTCACCCACCGCTCACCATTCGGAAAATGGTTTTTTGGCTGTCGTAATATAAATTCACGCTCTAATAATCTGAAGTCGCGCTCCGCTAAATAATAATTCGCGAATTTTAAGCGGCTTGTAAAGAATCCGCGCTTTCAGCGCTCTGGAGCGGGGACGTGAGGCTTGACCCAACGAATTGGGTGATCTAAGTCCTATCTCTATAGTCTATATGGGGGTGGGGGAGACGTGACCAGAGGATTGGGATCTTCTTTGTGATATATATATATATATTTTAAGGGACTTTGTGAAATATTGTGACTTAACAATTATCACTTATCCATGAGCAGGACTGCAGGAGACGTCAAAGACCAAATAAAGAAATGAACAAGGAAAACAACAAAACCAATAAGTTGTTACATAAATCTTTAGGCAGAGAAACCAGAAGATACGAGTTCATAGAATGGAGCCGAGCCACAACAAGAATCAAAACCAACAAAGCTTAGAGGGAATAGACATATAAAATTGTTCTGAGAAGGGATGAGCTTACCGTATTTGAAGTGGACAACTCCTATTAGGGCGGCAAATGAGCCGAGCTACTCGCAAACAATTCGAGATTAGAATCGGAAAAAACTCGTTCGAAACTCGACTCGTTTACTAACGAGTCAAGCTTGAGTTTAGCCTCGTTCAGCTCGCGAAGCTCGTGAGCTAGCTCGACTCGGTGGCTTGTTGAGCTCAACTCGTGAGTTGGCTCGTTAGAGCTCATGAGATGTCTCAACATTGTGGTTTGAGGGCCAACTTGATCACCGACTTATGGACGAATCGATCTAATTTGGACTTTCTTAATTCATAGGATTGTTAAATTATATATCTCACATCATGTGAAGTTTAACATGTTGAACATGTAAGAAAATATGCCTTATTTTTAATTCTATAAATAAATTATGTACAAAATTGTTTCGATACTATGAAATAACATGATTTGAACTAGTTAGAATTTATTAACTAAACAATATGACGCCTACAAATTATTATATAAGATTAATTAATGTTGAACATTTGATTATTTTTTTAATCGTTACATCAATCACATGTACCATACACGACATTACAAAATGAATATATTAAATACGATCTAAAAATTTAGTAAACAAGTCTAACTCGAACTCGGATCAACTCGGCTCGTTAATAAATGGCTCGAGCTCGAGCTCAGCTCATTTGTTAACGAGTCAAGCTCAAATTAGGGTAAAACTCGGTTCAACTCGACTCATTTGCAGCCCTCTTCTATATCCAACCCCAAATTCCTGATTGATACAACAAATATGTTTTGGAGTTTCTTCAAAACCCACCAACACGTGCATCTAATGTCTAGACCATGCAAATCTTTGTAACAATAAATCGAGTATCATTCGAGATTTAATACCAATGTCGGAACCCAACCTCTTTTCTGTACACTAATGCCTAACATCTTACAAGGCTAATATTTTTAACTACTTATAGAATACCAGCAAATATGCTTACACACAAATTGTCAGCCTCAAATTTATTCGGTATATATATTATAGACCAGACCTCAAAATTCATGTCAAAATAAAATACTATATAAAACGGGTTAATTGCATGGTTGGTCACTGAGATTACAAAAAACGTTCATGTTTGGTCACTGTAAATATTTAAATTCAATCTTGGTCACTCAAATTAGTTAAATGATTCAAGTTTGGTCACTCTCCGTCCAACTCCGTTAAATTTGTCTGATGTGGCAGTCAACCCTCAAAGTTGACCGTTAACTCAGTGACGTGACAATTAAAAAATAGTAAATAAAATAAATTTTAATTTTCTACCATTTCCAACTCATTTTCACATTAAAGTAAAATAAAAAGATAAAAAAAATTACAGTGACACCTCGACCTCCGCCACCTTAATCCCATCGCCATTAGCCAAACTCCAAATCCCTAGCTAGCGCGCCCCCAAATCAATCATTTCAATCCGCCATGGCTGCAATCTCTCCGATCTCCTTCCTCTTCTCCATCATCATCCTCCTAATCGCGCCAATCCCATCCACGGCGGGGAAACCACACGTCATCAAGTTCTGATCCCCCAATCTCTACCCAGAGGGACTCGCCTACGACCGCTCTGCACAACACTTCATCGTTGGATCCCTCCGCCACCGCTCGATCCACTCCGTCTCCGATGCTGGCGTCGTCGACACCCTCATCACCGACCTCTCCCTCCCTCCCAACGCCTCGATCCTCGGCCTGGCGGTCGATTCCGTCAACAACCGCCTCCTCGCCGCCGTCCACTCCATGGCCCCGCTCCCAATCTTCAACGCCTTAGCCGCCTACGACCTCCGCACCCGCCAGCAGCTCTTCCTCTCCCTCCTCCCCGACGGCGGAGCCACCGGCCGCCCCGTCGCGAACGCGGTGGCCGTCGACTTCAAGGGCAACGCGTACGTCACCAATTCCTTGGGAACCGAGGAAGGTAACTTCATCTGGAAAGCAGATTCGGAAGGAAACGCGTCGATCTTCTCCAGATCGGATAAATTCACGAATCCCCCGTCGACCATGACCTGCCGTACAGCGAATCGGGGCTCAACGGCGTGGCCTACGTCAGCAAGGGGTACCTTCTCGTGGTGCAGAGCAACACCGGGAAGGTGTTCAAGGTCGATGAGGTTACCGAGGGAGCGAGGCGGGTGATCCTACCGGCGGATCTGATGTACGCCGACGGGATCGCGGTGAGGAGGCGGGACGGGGCCACGCTGTTCCCCTTGAGGTCAAGGTCGGGGAGGTCGGCGAGAGCGGGCGGAATGGGGCCTTGGAGGAGGTTCTGGGAGAGGTCGAGGAAGCGGAGGGCGCGGCAGGCGGAGATGGCGGCGCCGGGGAGGGAGGAGTTGATGGAGTTGTTGAAGAGGGAGAGGGAGGAAGCGCCCTTTATTTGTAATTTTTTTTTGTTTTATTTTTTTTAATTTGATGTGAAAATGAGTTGGAAATGGTAGAAGATTAAAATTTATTTTATTTATTATTTTTTAATTGCCACGTCACTGAGTTAACGGTCAATTTTGAGGGTTGACTGCCACATCAGACAAATTTAACGGAGTTGGACGGAGAGTGATCAAACTTGAACCATTTAACTAATTTGAGTGACCAAAATTGGATTTAAATATTTACAGTGACCAAACATGAACGTTTTTTGTAATCTCAGTGACCAACCATGCAATTTACCCTATATAAAACTCTGGCCCTTCAAGGAATTGGAGCGGCGCTAGTGAGCAGGCTCACATCCAAATTTTGTCCTTCAGGGTTCTTTTGAAAATCCGTATTTCAATCCTCTTGGGCCCACCCGCGAGCCAGCGAAACATGGGTCTGGATCAGTCCGCCAACAAGTTGTACCAGTGCGAGTCCAGCTAGGTTTACTAAACTTTGGCTAAATATTTAGAGCAATAATAGCATACCTACCTCTTTTGGAGTATGACTAGTTTTTTACCCGGTTGTTGGTTAGAGAGTTTCATTATCATTTATACCAATTGATTTATTTATATATTAATTTTTTTTTGAATCACCTACATTTTTATATTCTCGCTTTATAAGCGAGTATGTGATATGCATAAAAATTCTCAATACTTAGCATACTCACCTATGATTCTATTTTTTTCTAACAAAAAATTATATCGTGAAGATTTATCACATCCCATTTTGGATAGCATATCAAGATTTGTCAAACCAAAACACTAAAATTATTATATTAAACTACATATAACAATTCATGATTCTCGGGTCAGGACAAACTCTAAACCAATTATTGAGAGTTCAAATTATTAGATAAAGATGTTTAATTAATGGATAATTTTTGTTTATTCCAAGTGAAACTTAACACATGTTGTACCCCTTACGATGATCATATTATCTAATCATGACTCATTTTCATGCCAATGTTCATGAAGTCTTAGTTGAGGATTTTATGTCAAATTTGTCTATCAAGACACTCAAATTTAGTATATTATACAATATGTATCAATCACTAATTCTTGAAGTAGTTGTTGTCTATATGTTGGTTCAGAATCTCAACCCAAGACACTCACCACACTATCAAGGGTTCTTGTCTTAACATGGTCATTTCGTGTATATATTTCCAACATTTTTAATGTGCATTTGTAAAAAAAAAAATTATCTTTGGTGTTTGGTTCATGAAACCGTACTAAACATCGTACCGGAAAAGTGAGTCATAGGGTCTTTTATGGCAAAATCGTGGCTTAACCACAGTTCAACAGTTAGTACCGTGAAATACAGTGTGCCGGTTTACCAAAAACCGATGCATGGGAATAACCTTCTAGAAAACAACAATTCCGTCGGTACGGTACGGTTTCATTAACCATTTATGAAACAAATTTTTTATTACTCATCTTAATAACTAATAAAGCGTGTCTACAACGCCACAAATTTTAGGTGCATTTAAAACGGCGTATCGTTTGAACAATTAATTTATAATTTTCTAAAAAGGTTATTTTTTATTAATTTTTAAAAAATTTATACAACCATGACATTTCGCATACATATGGATTCATGGATGTATTGTAGACACATCTATTGTTAATATCTAAGCATATGTAAAGAGTTTAATTTACTTTCTAATCATAGTTAATACCTTCTAACTTTGCTCGATCAGTGAAATATGAAAGAAAAAAATAATTGTGGCTAGGATAACTCTATCTAAATACAAATTGATTCATGTTACAAAGTAAAATATTTATGTTTTCACACTTTGATATCATAATATATTTGTTATTGCCAAAATTTGGTATTCAGTCACAGGCTCACAACCGTACTACCAAATGACTTCTTACAATTGCCTTGTTGAACTCATCATTATTAAAGATTTATAATTTTTAACCCAATAACTCAGATTAGACTTTCAAATACATTCAACTATTAAATGTAAATTGTCAGCCTTTGTTTGATCAATGCTTAGGTCAGTGGTTGATGATACGTGATGTTTACCATACATCGTCTACAAATACTTCTTTAACATTCACATGTGTCATATAATACTTGTACATCGTCAAGTTTCTATCCAAATATTTGGTTATATAATACTTACTATATTTGATAGACGTATACATTTGAAATGAGAAAATGTTTGATAGTAAAAAATATAAAATAATATAGTTCATTTTTGAAAGTCGATTGATCGTCAAACCACTATTTTCTTTCTTTCCATCACTACATTTGTTTGATCGGATAAAATATTATTATTTATGTGTGTGCTTTTTCTATTTTCCATTACAATGTAACTTATTATTAAGTTTTAGCATAAATGAATAAAAATTGACTTAAAATGTAATAATATGTTTTCGATTTAAAAAATGTGAGAGATGTCACTTTACAAACATTAGTCTATTATTGCATACATAGATTAATACATATAATGCAAAAACAAATATTGATAAAAGAAAAATATTAAAGAAGAGAGAGATAGCTCCATAAATTGATGATTAACTCAATTTTTTGTTTCCAAAAATTGTCCACCTTGGCAACTTGTGAGTTCTTCAGATGCTTATGTGGCAATAAATAACTTTTAAACAACCATAATATATAGTAAGATAAGATAAGATTTTCGACACCTCTATCCACATTGGTCGATTTTCTAGTACATGTAATGTAACTCATCTAATGGCTGCTAGTAAGGGATCTTTATAGGACACTGTATCTTTCCTTCTTTCTTTATCTTCTCCTTCCATCACCCATTCACCCTGTAACCTACCTACCTTTTCTCTCTTGCTCCAGCTCAAAAATCCATCGGAAAAGCAAAACCACCAGTTGTGGCCTCGTTTCCGAGCACCAGAGGCCTGTAACAGGATCGCAATCAAGTGGTGCTAAGAAATCAAAACCATACAAAACAACCTAAATCCACATCGAGTGGAGGGTGATGTATCAATTCCTCTTCACCAGTCAGCCTTTCTAAATCCAAAGCAAAAGTCTTTTTCTTACAAAAACTCTTCCAAACTTCCCCCTTTAATTCCAACACAGTTCCAAAAACCAAAACCAACCATATAGTTCTTAACAGGAAGAACTCCTTGTCTTCAATCTTCAGATTCTTCAAACCTCATATTTTCAGTTACTTGCTTAAGCTCGTGCATGATTCTAGACAGTCCCCACCTCTGCTCCCGAGGGGTTGTGCAACCCACAGCAATGTTGCAAGCTGCGGTCATGCCAGCTGCGTTGTACCTGGCATTCAGACAAGAGTCGATGTTGCAGATTTCACTAGTCATAACAAACCTTAGCCCATGTTTTGCGTGCGCAAGAAACAACTAAGGATTTAGAAACTTGAACCGTAGAAAGAAAGACAGTCACAACTAATGAGAGTATTTTCGGTTTGAGCTTTTGATTTTTGGGCTTGGGTGTTTTTCCTTTTCGTTGTAGGTTTCCTTTGAGCTTGGGGTTGGGGTAGCCGAGTAGGAGAGGGATTTCAGTTAGGGTTAGCTTTTCTAAGCCTATAAATATGTACATTTGGCATTAGTTCCAGGTTCATCATCCTCAACCAGCCATCATTTACAGTGACAACCAGTCTGCCATACACATTGCAAAAAATCCCACATTTCATGAGAGACCCAAGCATATTGAGCTTGATTGTCACCTTGTTCGTGAGAAATTGCAAGCAGACATCATCAAACTTCTACATGTTCCATCTCCTCATCAACTTGCAGATTTGTTCACCAAGCCTCTGCCTCCGACACTCTTCACTTCCTTATTTGCCAAGCTTGGTGTCCACAACCTGTGCCCACCAGCTTGCGTGGGCGGGGGGTATCAGGGGAGAAAAATACTCATTTTTCGCCATCTTCAGGACAAGAATACAAAGCTACTGAAAATAGCACAAAACTGAAGTGGAGCGACGTCGTTCAAGGCTGCAGAGGAGAAACCAATTAAATCAATTCATTTCCAACGTCTCTTTCACTCTTACCCCTTTTCTTCTACTCTATACTGTCCGCTTCTCTGTTAAGGCAACAACTAAGCTTATGTTGTCCTCTTCTTATTTCACTCTTGTATAAAAACCACTTGATGATTAATGAAAAGGTAAGTTAGGATTTTCCAAACAACTTTGTTGTTATGGTATTTAGCCATAAACCCTAACTGCAGCCGCCGTCAACATCCACAATGGCGCAGCCACCACCCACTCAGGATCCAATGTTGGATCCCTACTATCTCCATGGTTCCTATCAACCAGGTTTGATGCTGGTAGGTGAGAAGCTAACCACCACCAACTACAATGGCTGGAGCAAAGCAATGCTAAATGCTTTGGGGGCAAGAACAAACTCGGTTTCATCAATGACTCCCTCCCACCACTAGATGATTAAGATGCTCTGTTTTGGTCATGGACACGAAGCAACATCATGGTTCTCAGCTGGATTCAGCAGGTTGTGGAACTTGAGATCAAGAAGACAATCATGTTTTACAAGTTCACTTCAGAAGCTTGGACAAGCCTGAAAGCACGCTATGGCCAAGGTGATATTGTGCGAGTAGGAGAGTTAATTGAAGACATTTGCACTCTCAAACAAGGTAAACAAACTGTTAGGGAGTATTATGGAAATCTTATTACCAAAAGAGATGAATTGGAGAACTAACAGCCTCTTGAACCATGTCGATGTACTGGTACTAGTGCCACTGAATGTGCTGCTATGAAGCTCGTGCTAGGTTACAGAGAT